TCTGGCTGAATCCTTGAGTAAATATATCTTTTCTTTAACTATATGGGTTGCCGCGCTGCACGGGATTTTTCGTTGGCGGATTCCCCAAAATGGCCATTTCGCTCGAGACATCCTCCAAAAATCGAGGTGTTGGAGGCTATGTTCGCAACATCATCTTGAAACCGAGAGGAGCACGGCAGACCAAGACGAGGAGCACGGCAGACCAGGCCCCAAGAGCGCCCTCAAGACGACGGAAAGGAGGACCAGGACGAGGAGCACGGCAGACCAAGACGAGGAGCACGGCAGACTATGCCCTAAGAGTGCCCTCAAGACGGCCGAACAATCATCAAACAAACAATGAGTCTAACGTCGTCTTGGAATCGTTTTTGAGGGCATCAGTACGGCCCCCCAAAAACAGAATCGGCCCAAAGATGACCCGCAGAGTGCCCTCAATACGGCCGAACATGAGGATTTCGCTGGGGACGTGTTCAATAGATTAAGAGTGTATCAGCACCGTCTGTTGCAACAGCGCTGTGCTGGTCTGCCGTTCTCCTGTGGTCAGCTGTGCTGGTCTGCCGTGCTCCTGCGGTCTGCCGTTCTGGTCTGCCGTTTTGGTCCGCCGTGCTCCTGTGGTCTGCCTTCCTGGTCTGCCGTGCTGCTGCCGTCTGTCGTGTTGCTGCGCTGTGCCGTGTAAGCTGATAAACCGGTCAGACCGATGAAAAAAACGAGAGTCGGGTTACAACGGCTACGCAGATTTAAACTGCTAGTCCAAAGGCTCTCCAGAGGACCCCAACATCTCCCAAGCACACCCCGAGAAGTCCATCATCATCATCATCATCATCATCATCATCATCATCATCATCATCATCATCATCATCATCATCATCATCATCATCATCATCATCATCATCATCATCATCAGCATGCATGCCAGGACCACGATCATCATCGTCATCATCATCCACACCATCAGCATCATCATCACCATCGCCACCATCACCATAAGTATAATCATCATTCGTATCATCATCGTCATCCTCATCGTCATCGTCATCGTAATCATCATTATCATCATCACCACCATCATCACCATACTCATACTCATACTCATCATCATCCTCCTCCTCATCATCATCATTATTATCATCATCGTACGCATCACCATCACCATCAGCAGCAACATGTTCATCACCAACAACAGCAGCGTCAGGCCAGAGGCCCGCCAGAGCGCCCAAAACGCCCCAAGAGACCCCCAAGAAGCCCCCCAGGGGCTCCAAAGAGGCGGCCAGAAGTCCCCCAGAACGCGCGAAAAGGCTCCAGGAGTTCCCTGAGAGCTTCATATCGCCCCATAGAGCCCCCGAAGGCCCCCCCCGGGACTCCCCCAAGAGGCCCCCGAGAGGCCAGAGGCTACGACAGCCCCAAGAGCGTCCAAGATACCTCCAAGACGGCGCCGAAGCCAGGAAACGCAACAGGGATGTTCTCTGACGTTCTCGCCAATACGGTCTCTGACGCACGTGGTGGATAAAAAACTGCGCTTCCCGTTCTTGTCCGGTCAGGTTCCGGGAAATTGGCCGTTTCGCTCGGGACATCCTCAAAAATCGGCTCCGGAGGGGACTCCGAAACAGCATTATCTTGGAATCGCTCGCGGAGGGCCTCCAAACGGCCCAAGAGAGACCCCGAAGGCCCCCCAGAGGACCCCCAAAGCGCCCCAAGAGACCCCCAAGAGCCCCCAGGACGGCCCCCAAGACGACCCACGGTGCCGCCAGGACGGCCCAGGATGTCCTCAGGAAGGCCTCGAGACGGCCTCCAGACGAACTCGAGGATGACGGGAAGCGCCTCCGGCGTGCACCGTTGGTTTTGGGGCTTAATTTTCTCTAACTAAGGGGTGCGGGCCCGCACTTCGGAACTCGCTGGCGGCGGCCTGCGGCAGCAGAGGGACGCGGGCACCTCGAGCCAGCCCGCACGGGTCCTCCTGCTCGTCGTCGTCGTCGTCGTCGTCGTCGTCGTCGTCGTCGTCGTCGTCTTCGTCAATAACGATCTCGAACATTACAACAAAAAACGATGGCAGAAAACGACCACAAACATAACACAAAAACCAACCGAACACGGAATCCAACAACAAGAAAACAATCAGAAAAACGACTGCAATCATAAAATGATAACGACGGCGACAGCGAGAACGGCAACAGCGGACGATTATAATGAAAACGACGACCACGACAAAGGAAAGGCACGCGACGACGACGATGGACAAACAAAAGACAAGACAGGCTGGAACAGAAAAAGTAGGCTGGGCGACAACTGGTGGGGGCCCATGTGGCCGAGAGAAAAGCACGGTGTCGACACCATGATGTGCCCAGGGCAGCAGACTACCTCGACAGACCAGCGCGGCAGGCCATCATTTAGTCTGTTCTGTTGCGTTTATGGGTTTCTCTGACATTCTCGCCAATACGGTCTCTGACGCACGTGGTGGATAAAAAACGGCGCTTCCCGTTCTTGTCCGGTCAGGTTTTCGCTCCTATTTCGGCCTAGCTACACGAGGATCACGCGCAGCTTCGCCTCGCCCGCACGCACGACACGAACGCGAACCGGAAACCGAGTTCCCGGTGGGGTGTCTCCGATTCACTGCGATCTTGCGGGACGGGAAAGTGACCACAGCCATTGCTTCTTGTTTACGCCGCCTTCCAGCCGGCCGAAAAAGAAGCAGTGGTTGTGGTCATTTCTCTGGTGCCAAGCTTAAACGAAAATGACCACCACCACTGCCTTGCGTCTGCCGGCTGGAAGGCGGCAACACAAGAAAAGCAGTGGTTGTGGTCGTTTTCACGTCCCGTATAGATCTCACCCCCCAGCTTCCGGCCGCGGCACGCCGGGGTGCAAGCTTTTCCAGCCGCCCCATGGGGCAGGCGTTCCCACGGATGTGTGGGGTCGGTGGATCGCGCCGCATCGCTGATGCTTGGGCCGGACGAAAGGGGGGGATTGGGACAGGGAGGGTTACGAAATTTGCTGCATGCAGCTGGTTTCGGCCCCCCCCGAGGGGCCCATTCCTTGATACATGGCCGCCTCCGGCGCCGGGAGGCGCCGGGAAAATCAGCTACGTGAGCTGATTCTCAAGCCCCCCCTTTGCTATCCCGCCCGTTCGCCGGACCCGAGATGCAGCGCCGATGTGGTTCGATGTGGAGCCCGATGTTCTCCACGCCGATGGCGCGGATCCATCGCCGACGTCGCCAATGCATTGGCGATGCATCGCCGATGCATCGCCGACGCGTTAGCAATGCGGTCCGAGCCTCCAACCAACCACATCCACTCGTTGTCGTCGTCGTCGTGATCGTCGTCGCATGCGTGCGACGACGACGACGTCATCTTCTTTCCGCGTCATACATCCCACGTGCGACTTGCCGGGACAAACTGTTGATTACCCCCCCCTGGACGCCGAACTTTATCATCCCCTGGGTGTTATTATCAGGGGTAGTTTTCAGTCGGGCGTGACCCCACAGGGGAAGCATTCAAACATAGTCAAGCAACAGCCTGGGGACGCTGGTTCGACTATCTTGGATTGCTGTTGATCAGTTGTTTGCATAGTTTCTGATTGTCTCCCAAAATCCGCCTGTAGGAGGACGTGCGCCACCTAAGTCTAGGCCGCCTAGATGGGGTCGGAGTAGATGGGATCGGAGGATCGCGCCGCATCGCCGATGCGTCGCCGATGCGGGTCGATGTCGAGCTCGATTTGCTTCACGTCGACGTCGCAGATACATCGCTGACATCGACGATGCGTCGCCAGTGCATCGTCGGTGCATCGGCGATGCATCGGCGATGCATTTGCGATGCGGTGCGATCCTTCGACCCCATCTGCTCCGACCCCATCTAGGAGACCTCTACTAATGTTATGTCGGGCGCGTCTCCCTACCGGGGGACTGTTAGACGAATAATAAGAAATACCAGCATAAATACCCCCAAAAGGTAAAACAATACTGGAACAATAGTTGAGAATGAAACGAATCGCGGTGCGTCAAGCCAACATTGAGCTGAAGCCAGCTCCACCACAACCCAGGGGGCAGATCCGGAATCTCTCGAACGTCTGTGCTCCAAGGGTTGGCGGCAACAGTGCAACGGATCGAGCACGACGTACAGACGATGCGACAATCAGCGGGCCCAGGACTCAGCAGGAGTGATCTTCGTCCCCGGTCTCTTGCAGTGTTGGACGGAAGCCAGCGTAGCGCAGGGTGTCTTGATATACGCTACCAGTTGCGATCATGGCCAGTGGCAGCAGACAACAGGCACACAGGTTTGCAGACAGCACAGCAGACATCAGATGTACAATCGACTGCGCAGCAACCCCTTATTTGTCCGTCCTGTACAAGGGCGGACAGAGTGGTGCATCAAGGAGTGGCCCAAGAAATGGTGCATGAAGAAGGGAGCGATGCCCAGGCGACATCAGCTACAGAACAGAACGCGCGGAAGCAGACAGCAAACGCAGGCGGAGGCAAGACGGGGGTACCACGGACGCAATCAGATACAGACCAGCACGCGTGCGAGTAGTGACGACCGGGGTTGCGGGCAGTGGCAGCGCGCAGCCGGTGCGAGAAGTCCCTGGCTATGGAAGCAGGCAGTTGATCGAGCAATGACAGAGTGGGCAGTGGTGCAATGGCAGCGAGCAGTGGTGCAGCACGCAGTGGTGAGAGAAGTGTTGACAGTGGCAGCCTGCGTAGCGCGCGAACAGGACTGACAGTAGCAGACAGTGGTCGCACTGGCTACGAGCATGGCGCCGAGAACACACAAATCCGATGCAATCATCCATGAGAGTGGCGCACCGAAGCGCGAGCCAAACACCATCAGGTATGAGGTCGGCGCCACGAAAACAAGCACGACGTCCCCAATCGCGACGATGGCGACGTGCAGCACGAGCCCGATGGCATCAGCTATGATGTTGGACGCCCAACTTCTGAGAGCGGACTCGCGAGGCACGAGCCCGGTGCCATCGGTTACGCAGCAAGCGTTTCGAAGCACGACCCCGATGCCACCAAATGCGCGGGCCCCGTCGAGGTGGCCAGGCGGGCGCGGAGGGCCTCCCTCGCGAGGCGCCAGACCATCGAGTGCCGGGAGTGGCATGCTGCAGCGGTGCGAGAAGACCCGGCGCTGGGGGCAGGCAGCGGTGCGAGGACAGGCGACCTGGGAAATGACGCATTGGCATCTGGCAGCGGTGCAGCTGGCAGTGGTGCGACAAGAGCTGGCGGCGGCAGTGGCAGTGGCATTTTTTTGCTGCAGTTCCGCGCGAGCGAGAAGAGCAGGCGGCAGCAGTGGCAGCAGGAAGCGCTGATGCAGTTGGGCAACATGTGTCGTCCGATCCTGGTACACATGCGGTCTGGTGCGCTGTGTGGGATCGACAGTGGCAGCAGGCAGCGGTGTAAGCGAGCCTGCAGGCAGTGGCGCGCGATCCATCAGCTACGGCAGGAGGACGAACGACCGTCAGTGGCAGCAGGCAGTGGCGCGCGAAGACCGGGCAGTGGCAGCAGGCGGTGGTGCGAGAAGAAGCAGCGTGGGCAGTGGTGTTGTGGCAGCTTGCAGGGGTGCAGCAGGCAGCGGAGCAGGCAGTGGCAGGAGCAATGGCAGCTGCAGCAGGCAGCTGGCAGTGGTGCAACAGGCTGTGGTGCCCGCCGTCTATACCGGGCCGTAGCATGCTTGTCTGCCGCTCGATATGCGTGCGTATTCGGGCAAATAGGATGCGCTGACGTCGCGAGGAGCAGGCGGGACACATCGGAACACCACATGCGAGAAGAGGCGGCAGTGGCAGCAGGCAAAGGCGGCATCGACAAGTCTGACAGCTACGGGTCCGAAAGCTGCTATGAGGAGAGCGATCGCAACAGCTGCGCGTCGATGGCGCCAGAGATCCTGAAAGATTGCGTGTGGCTATCGCGAAAACAGCCAAGGCAGGCAACCGCGACTTCCCAGGCTCCTGCTGGCAGACGGGCCCCAACAAGGGCCGGCAGTGGCTGCAGGCAGAGAAGAGACCGAAGACCACGCGTCATCAGCCACCTCCGCGGGCCAGCGCGTGCGAGAAGAACCAGCTGTGGCAGCTAGCAGCAGCGAGAGAGCTGAGCACCAGACACCATCATCGACATGCGTGGGCCAGCAGGGGCGAGAGCGGCGGGCAGCCGCAGCGGGTTGTGGTGCCGCGCGCTGGGGCGAAGGCGGCAAGGGCTCTGGCCGACACAACGGTGCCCACGGCGAGCTGATTATGATTGGTCCATCCCCAAAGGCCACATGAGGCAGGCAGGCACGGCGGGATGTAGCAGAGTGGCCGCCGAGAACGGCGCCGTCTACGGCAGGTCGATGGGACATGGAAGCGTGCGTTTCTCCGCCGATGCTGAGGTCCAGAAGCGGTCGCCACTCTCGCCGAGACGGTGTTCATTGGCCGTGGGATATTCATCAAGCGGTGAAAGATGGCGTGAACGATTTGAATGCCCAGTCGTTTGTTGCGTTGCATGTGGACCAGCATCGGCATGCGTGCTAGAAGAGCCGGCCGCGGCAACAAGCTGAGTACCTTCCGTCATGAACCACATGTGTGGGCCAGCGCGCGCGAGAGAGGCCCGCAGCGTAGTGGGACGAGCAGCACCGCGGGCAGCGCGCGGCCATAGGTTGCGTTTTGGGGGACGGCGACGCGCTGCTAAGGAATTGGGGGGCACCTACAGGGCAATGAGGAGAGGCCTGGAGAAGAGGGGGGGGGTTCTGTATATTTGCATTTGTGCCGTTCTCTTTTCGGGTGGCCCGGAGGGGCGACGCACCAACGTAGAACACGCGTAGCACATAGAACCGCGCCCGCGAGGTTCCTTTCGTGCCTGCACCGCGGGCTATGTAGTTGCCTTCCTGGTTCTGGTCTCGGTCCCGTTGCAGGGGGTCCCTCCTTCGTCCTCCACCCGCTTTGTAGAGGGACCTATTCACCACCGCCGTGCGCGGTCATGGCCACCCAGGCCCCAGGATGGTGCACGGGCCTTCCCCGCTTCGGCCACGATGGTACACTCACCATGCCAGGGCCAAGGAGTCGGACCATGATAAGTTTAAGTCGGGCGTGTCCCTCTACACGGGGAATATTCCAACATAGTCAAAAATAGTATGGGGACTATTGTTTTAGTATTTACCGTTTTGGAGCACTTTTTGAGTTTTTATGTTTCGTCGACAATCCCCCTGTAGGGGGACACGCCCGACTTAAGAATAATTGCAGGAAGCTCATGCTCGAAACTCCGCGCGGATTTGTTGGACTTGGGTTTGCGCTGGCCCCCCTGGCGGCGCCCGTGGCTCGTCCCAGGAAGGGGGCCCAGGCTCCGATCGAAAAAGTTCGCGCGGACAGCCGAAAACTGAGTCCCCACCCGCCTGGACAGGGTCCGTTGGCTTACAAGAGGTAGCCCCCGACCCGCTTCGCACACCCTGCATACCGCCGTCGCCAAGCCCAGAGTGCGCCTCTGCTCCTAGTCTGCGCTGAGCGCCGACCGCGTACCGCGGCCGCCAAACCAAAGGTGGCCCGGTGCTCCCTGGGGGTCCCGTCTCGCGCTCTCGGATGATGATCGCCCAGAGCAGGATCATGCGCATTTTGTTCGGAGGTTGATAGACCTCCTACCCTGATACGTCGATTAGCGAATTGGCCGTGTTCGGTTCGCGAGAGGGCGTCGCGGCCGTCATTTTTGCGGGTCCAGGTCCGTCGGTTTCGGTCCTCGGCCGTGTTCACTCAGGGGAGGCTCACGACAGGGAGGTTTGTCCACCGCCGACTTGTCTTCCTCGTGCTGTGGCCTTCGCGCGCCCTTTCTCCCATTTTGTCCTGCTGGCGGGAAGAGGGAGGGGCACCCGGCAGGGATGGATCATGTGCGTTTTGTTTTCCTCATGCTATGATCTTCGCGCGCCCTGCCTCCCATAGTTGTCCTGCTCGCGGGAAAAGGGAGGGGCACCGGGCAGGGAAGGATCATGTGCTTTTTGTCTTCCTCATGTTATGATCTTCGCGCTCCCTTCCTCCCATGTTGTCCTGCTGGCGGGAAGAGGGAGGGGCACCGGGCAGGGAAGGATCATGTGCGTTTTGTTTTCCTCATGCTATGATCTTCGCGCGCCTTGCCTCCCATAGTTGTCCTGCTCGCGGGAAAAGGGAGGGGCACCGGGCAGGGAAGGATCATGTGCTTTTTGTCTTCCTCATGCTATGATCTTCGCGCTCCCTTCCTCCCATGTTGTCCTGCTGGCGGGAAGAGGGAGGGGCACCGGGCAGGGAAGGATCATGTGCGTTTTGTTTTCCTCATGCTATGATCTTCGCGCGCCCTGCCTCCCATAGTTGTCCTGCTCGCGGGAAAAGGGAGGGGCACCGGGCAGGGAAGGATCATGTGCTTTTTGTCTTCCTCATGCTATGATCCTCGCGCTCCCTTCCTCCCATGTTGTCCTGCTGGCGGGAAAAAGGGAAGGGCACCGGGCAGGCACGGCGGCGCCCCTGCGGCCATCTCGGCGGGGAAGCATGTCGCCCGCCCGTGGCGCGCGGATCTTGCCCACCTCCACGCCGCCTCCTCGCCTGCCTCGTCTGCCCTCCTTTTTACCCCGGCCTTTTCTCCTCCACGCCGTCCGCCCCCATCCATCCCATTGTCGTCTCCGTTTCCTCCTCCTCCTCCTCCTCCTCTTCCTCATCCTGTTCCTCCTCCCCCCCTCCGCCTCCCTCCTCCTCCTTCTCCTCCTCCTCCTGCTCCTCCTCCTCCTCCTCCTCCTCCTCCTCCCCTCCTCCTCCTCCTCCTCCTCCTCCTCCTCCTCCTCCTCCTCCTCCTCCTCCTCCTCATCCCCTCCTCCTCTTCCTCCTCCTCCGCCCCCTCCCTCCCCTCCTCGTCCTCCACGCTTCCTCCTCCCTTCCTCCCTTCCGCCCTCCCCCGCGGGGCCATGCCGCACGCGGGGTTTCGGCGCCGAGTGCGGGGCGGTTGTGCTTCGTCTGTGGCGCGTGGCCCACTTGGGCCTCGTCGTGGTAGCAGAACAGGCCAAAGCAGTCCTCCTTTCCCACCTCGCCCTCGTGTGTTTCCGCCTCCTTTTCCTGCTCGTCCTCCTCTGTCTCCTCTCCTCCTTCTCCTCCTCGTCCTTCCCTGCCTCCCCCGCCTCCTTTTCCTCCTCTGCCTCCTCCTCCTCCTCCTCCTCCTCCTCCTCCTCATCCTCCTCCTCTGTTTCCTCTGCCTCGTGTGCCTTTCTCATTCCTCTTCCCTGCCGTCGCTTCCCGAGGGCAGTCGGGAGGGCGGGTTGGACGTTCCGCTCGAGATTGCTTTGCCCTTTCGGAGCCTGGATCTGAACACTCTGCAGCCGCTTCACAGACGGAGGGCTGGACGCTTCCGACACGTGGCTCCCTCGTTGGCGCCGCGCACCAAGTGTGGCTCTCGCCGTAGCGCTGCGCGTCTTCCATATTTTGTTATCGCGCATCCTGCTGCTCGGAGGCGGGAGGAGAGCCTGGGCTGGCGGAGGCAACGGGGGGCGGAGAGCCCATTGGGGCGGGGCATCCCTGCGTGCAGTGGACCCTGGCTGTGGAGGACACGCGAGGGTCCTTGGGTTAAGTCAAGTCGGGCCTGTCCCTCTACAGGGGGAACATTCAAAAATAGTCAAAAAATAGCCTGGGGACTATTTTTTGAGTTGTTTGAGGCTATGTTGGCGTATTGTTCTACCATTTTTTATTTTTCGTCGAAAGCCCCCCTGTAGGGGGACATGCCCGACTTCATCCTTGGGCCCGGAGCGGGGCAAACACGTCCTGGCCACCAGATCTGAGGGTCCTCCTCTCGGTGGTCCAAAGAACTCAGGACGAGGTGCCTCACAGAACGGACACTCGGCCTCGGGTTCCCGAGTCCTGCCTACCCTTCGGCTCGCGTCCCTCGGGACCCCCTCTTTGAACCACCGATCTTCCTTCTCCCGCCTCCTTCCCCTTCTCTTGCTTCCCTCAGCCTCCCTTCTGCCACCCGGCGTCACCTCTCGTCACCTCCTCCTGGCCTCTGGCTTCGCCTCCCGTCGCCTCCAGGTCGAGGTGGTTGGCACCTCCATGGCCGGGTCGATCGGCGTGGCCGAAGAGTTCTTGGAGGCCAAGGGGCGCTGGAAGGCCAGACCGTGCGTCTCTCCTCTTGCCCCTCCCTCTTCCATCCTGGCGTGTCGTCCTCCCCCCTCCTCTTCTCTCTCCCTCTCCCTTTCCTCCATTCCTCTCGGGTCGGACCAAGGGGGGTACGAACTCGGCTGCGTCCAGCTGGTCTCGGCCCCGCCGCCAGGTGCTTTCCTGGATTCATGCGCCGGGGGGCTCCCAGAAAACCAGGTACGTGAGCTGATTCGGCCCCCCACCCTTTTGCTACCTTTTCCAACCCCATCTCCCTCTCGTCCGATGCGATCCTCACTCTGTGTTTCTCCGTCCTCCGCCGTTCACGTGCACTTCAGATGTCTCGCAAAGCTTTTAGGACGCTTGGCGTCGCTCGGACGTGTGCATTTTCCCTTCGGCGAGGACCATCGAGGAGCATCCTTGATCATTTCGCGAAAAAACCACGCACGAAACCTAAAAACACACAGAAAATGGACGTCCGAGCGATGGCCAGGACGTTTCCCCCCGTCTTCAGATCTCGCTCCTGGAGGGCTGAAGGCGACGATGGAACGAGCCTCGGAAACGTGAGTGAGCATCATGACACCCTTGCGGCAGAAGACCCGAAACATCTCTCCGCAGGGGCCCGGCCATCCACCTCCGCCTCCTTTTTATCTCGACTATTGTCACTGTTGCGATTTAACTACGGCGTTTACAACCACGTGTTGCCAACCACGCACTGCAAGTGTTCGACAGTTCATGATATCAATGTTCAGACGACTGCGGATAGCCATGCTGATACGAAAGCGACTATCGTTTAAGCATAACAGAAATACGAATCGCAGGAGGCAACGGGAGACCATGTGAGGCAGCGGGAGGCGTCGGAAAACAACGAGGGGCAGCGGGACACAACGGGAGGCAGCGGGAGACAGCATCGGGAGGCAGCGGGAGGCGACGGGAGGCAACGGGAGGCAACGGGAGGCATCGGGAGGCTTCGGGAGGCAACGGGAGGCAGCGGGAGGCAGCGGGAGGCAGCGGGAGGCATCGGGGGACATTCGGAGGCTGCGGGGGGCCATTTGAGGCATCGGGAAGCAGCGGGGGGCAGCGGGACACAACGGGAGGCAGCGGGAGACAGCATCGGGAGGCAGCGGGCGACAGCGGGAGGCGACGGGAGGCACCGGGAGGCAACGGGAGGCAACGGGAGGCAGCGGGAGGCAGCCAATGCGTGATGATCTCGGGGCAGCCCGCCTATCCTTTTCTTATAGTTCGTCTGACAATGTTCCACAGAAGTTGGTTCGGGAAACGCATGGTAGTTCTGGCACGTGAAAGAGCGGTCAGGTTGTGAGATAAAGAACACATACCAGTCGTGTATCGAAGTATGGAGATACTTGCGCGTTCTGGGAAGGGCCTCCCTGGAAAAATTGAACATGAGCGCATTCAGTGCTTACCGTCATTTCCCGAGTCGGAAATCACAGTGCCGACAGTGGAAAAATTTCGTGAGAGCTCAAAGCAGGACACAAAACACCCCAAGCGGTTTGGGAGTTTCGTCTTCTAGTCCTATTATTGTTGTTGCTTATGATCTTCCTCTGGGCACTCGCGCGAGAGGTGGTATTCGCCAGCGGGGTCGCCAAGAACTTCAAGGGGGACAGCCTGCGGCTGGTGCCCGAGGCTCACGTGACCGCTGCGAGGGGGGGTGTAGGGAGGAGCGTTGCAGGGCCCTGCTCTTGACTAGCCCCGCAAAGGAGTCCCCAGTTGGATCCATGGGTTCTGGTTCTCCTCATCCTCCTCCTCCTCTTCCCCTTCCTCCCCCTCCTCCTCCTCCTCCTCCTCCTCCTCCTCCTCTTGACTGGCCCCGCAAAGGAGTCCCCAATTGGATCCATGGGTCCTGGTTCTACTCGGTTCGCTTTGGCTCCTCAGGGACCCACGTACCTCAGAGGAGGAAAAAGTACCGATCGATACCGCTACCCTTCGCCCGTTTTCCCCTTTTTCGGCCTCCTCGGAGGCTCGCGTTGTCACCGCTGGATTGTCCTCGAAATCTTGGTCAGAACGCACCCCAGCAGAGGTCCGGGGAGTAGCGGTATCGGTACCTTTTGGTTTCCCCAGTACCCTCAGCGATCTCAGTCAATAGTCGGATGGCCTCCTCTTCCCTCAATGGGAGAGGCTGGCCCAAACTCCCGTAGTTTGCAGAATGGGCCCGGAGCGCTCGACACACCGACGTATCTGCTGATATCACTAGGCGGTTATGCAATCTTGTCTACTGAAAGGATGGTTTGCGCGTAACTTTTTCCACTGGTCTCGCGACAACGGTTAGACACTTGAGCCAAGCAGCTCCGGACATACATTGTCCTTCCGCGAGGGTGGCATTGCTACGCACCCACGGCGGAGCGGAGGTGGCATAGCTACGCCCCCCCGCGCCTAGAAGTGAAAACTACACGCCAAAATATACAATTGGCGGGCACACGTAACCGGTGACATTTTGGGAGCCGTTTGGGGTCCAAGAAGGTCACCGACGCAAGTTGTGGGAACCCCTAGCTGCTGACCGCAAGAGGTCCGCGATCCCAGACAAACCTGTACTTTTGGCTGTGCCAGCCTATCCTCTGCTCCATGCCGTACTATGCTATGCCTCGCGCGCTGCATAACACGGCAACAACGAAAAGGTAACGAATTTGTCTTGGCGGCCCCCGATTCACGGGGCGGAGGAGGGGGGAAGGAGGGGGGCAAGGAAGAGAAAAGGAGGGGGGACGGACCTGTTCCCCACACCCTATGATGGGGCTCCTGTCATTCCCAGGCTCACTCACACTCAGACTCGCTAACACTCAGGCCCACCCTTACTCAGACTTACCCCTGCCCAGACTCAGTCCCACTGGCAGATTCGCTCATACCCAGACTCACTCACACCCAGACGCTCACGCTCAGACTTACCCATAAACAGATCACCCACAGCTGGACCATACAAAATACACTTGCTTCCACTCATACTCAGAAACACTCACACTCAGACTCACTCATATTCACACCATGGGTGTTCATATCCAAGCATGCTCAGCTTAGTCATACCCTGAATCGTACGCGCAGACCACTCTCACGTTGATCAGTCACACCCAGAGTCACTATTCGCCTGTACCAGAGCGGTTGAGAGAAATTGGGGTCGTCGTCGTTGTCGTCCTAGTCGTCCTCGTCGTCGGCGTCGGCGTCGGCGTCGGCGTCGGCGTCGGCGACGTCGCCGACCTCGGGTAGGGAGGGCGGAAGGGGGGAGGAGGGAGGGCGGATGGGGGAGGGAGGGAGGGAGGAGGGACGAGGAGGGAGGGAGGGAGGGAGGGAGAGGGAGGGAGGAGAGAGGGAGGAGTAGGAGGGAGGGAGGAGGGAGGGAGGGAGGAGGGAGGGAGGAGGGAGGGAGGGAGGAGGGAGGGAGGAGGGAGGGAGGGAGGGAGGGAGGAAGTGAGGAGGGAGGGAGGGAGAAGGGAGGGATGGAGGATGGAGGAGGGAGGAGGGAGAAGGGGAGCAGGGCGCCTACGAGGACGGCGGGCTCCTCGGTGCTCCTCTCCAGACGACGCGGCCGCCCGCTCCCCCCCCCGCCCTGGCTGCCCCCCAGGGCCGAGCCCCCAAGGCCGCGGCGCGGCGGCCGCCACAGGAGCCCGCCGACGGCGGCGGTGGCGACGACGACGACGACGACGACGCCGACGGCGACGACGACGACGACGACGACGACGGCGGCGGCGGCGGCGGCGGCGACGACGACGGAACAACGACGGAACGACCACGACGTCGACGAGGGAACGACGTCGACGACGACGGAACGTCGCCGCGGCCGCAGCCGCACGCGGCCGTCCGCCTTGCGACCATGGCGACGACCACGGGACGACGCCGTCGGCGCTGACGAGATTTGGACGACGGCGTAGACCACGACGGCGACGGAACGACTACGACGGCGACAACGATGAAAGAAATGATGAAAGAACCCAACGGAACGATGACGACGATGGCGACGGCGACGGAACGGATCGCCGACAGGGGCCTGATAGCCCACCCCACCAAGGATCCTTCGGGTTCGCTGTCTGGGTCCTGTAGCCGATCTATCGCCGACTCCAGGTTGATACTCCACCCCCTGAGCAAATGCCCCCTCGAACGTTCCCCCCTACACCAGCGGCAAACTTCTCCATATCTCCAGATCTCCGACGATGAGATATTTCAGTTTAGACGCGTTTTTCTCGATTGCGGCCTTTGGGGTCCGTGTGATCGGGCCCCGAGGGTGACGCCGACGCCGGGCCGACGTCCCCTCTTGGTGCCCATCGTGTCCTCTCCAGCTCCACGAGCGGCGAGCGTATGCATGTCGTCGCCCTCGTGGTCTCACCGCGTCATTGCGTCATTGTGGCCACCCTGTCCAAGTTGATGGGCGGACGTTTGGCGCGTCGATCGTGTACGGTGTGAAACCAGGTGTTGGACGCCGATGGGCAGCTCCGCGCGGGTGACGGTGCCGCTGTCGTTGCCCGATGCACGCTTGCACCTGCGTGGTCTTCGGCAGAGGTGCATTCTCACTGGTCCAGCAGAATTCTTTCAGAGCCAGTTGGATTGTTCTTGCGAAGGCCTGAAGGCTGGTGCCGCCGACCCTGGAGGCCTCGGCCTTCGACGGAAATGGGAGGGAGGGGGCGGGCCATGGGCCCCGGGAGGGTGGTGTTCTGACCTGGGACCCCCCCCGGGGACCACCCCCTGGGACCCCCCTCCCCCCCCTCCGCGGGGAAGGGATCAAAGGGAAAGAGGGTTCCCTTCGACTCAATGACAACGTTGCTTAATTTCGCTGTGGAAGAGCTGGTGTATTTCGCTTTGGGTGACGTGCTTGAGGGCGAGGGCCCAAGGGAAGGGGGGGGAGCGGCGACGGACTCATTGGAAAGAGGGGACGTGATGGCGGCGGCGACGCGACGGCGGCAGCGACGGCGATGGCGACGGAGTAACCCCCTGTCACACGCCGACAGGGTCGGCTGATTTTCTCAGAGATGTTCCACATGTCACGACATAAAAGTAGCCTGGCGAAGGACCCAACCATATGCAGTCGTGGATAACGCAATTGTGAATATCATCTTCGCTCGCGCTCCCTATGGGGTCACGAACCGTGCGAGGGGGCGTGCCGAAATGCGAAGCGGGGTCCACAATACGAACAAAAACGGCCGGGTCGGTCTGAGTGCGAGAGATTCAGGAGCCTGAGCGCGAGTGAGTCTGATTGTGAATGGGTCTGCGTTTGAATCAGTCTACGTGTATGAGTGCCGACGCCCATGCCGGCACGCTCCTCACGAGGATCGCGCCCCGTGCGCGCCGTTGTCCATGGCTGCGGGCGCGGCGCCGCACGGAGTCCCCGCGACGTACGCTGGTCGCCCCGAACGGGTCCTGGCGACGCGCGCGGGTCGCCCACTGCGCGGGGCAGAGAAAGCCAGCTGGTTGGCTGATAGCGGGCAAGGTTGTGGCCGCTGGGCAGAGCGACGACGGGGGCGGGCGAGGCTCTTAGCAGAGCGCAGTGCGGAATTCCCGCGACGCGCGCTGGTCGCCCCGAGAGGGTTCCAGCGACGCGTGCGGGTCGCCCGCGGCGCGAGGCCAAACAGTCAGACTGTCGAGGAATGGCGAGGCTCGGGCGGGCCGCCTCTCAGGTCAAGCCTCGCGGATAAACTCGGTGAAGCCCAACTCCCTGGCGAGCGCCGTCGCCTCCCTTCTGCACCGCTTCGTGCGCGCCGCAAGCTGCCCCAGCTGCTTCCGCAAGCCTTCCGGCGGCCCTGCCAGGAAGAACTCGATGCGCGGCGCCCGCATGAGCAGGATGTCCTCGTGGCTCGTGGCGCGCGAGAGCAGCGCGTAGAGCTCCAACCGCCAGTCGTCGTCCTTTTTGCCGTTTCCGACCTCGTGGCGGCCGCAGTCCAGGATCACGTCTGGGCGATGTCGGCCGAGGGAGCAGCGCGCCGGACAGCCGACCGCCCAGGGCGAGAGTCCACGGGACCGAGAGAAGGTCTGGCTGCGGACTACCCGCGCCCAGCAGGTCTGGCCGCAAACTACCCCAGAGCGCGGTTCCCTCGCCCCGTCGCCTTCGCGCACGGTGCGCCCCTGGCACGCCACCGCGGTGATGACCTTGCCGTGCCAAAGCGGGGCGGAACCGCCATGCGCGCCGCGCCACTGGGACCATCGGTGGAGCTCCCTACGAAGCCACGAAGCGTGTGAGGGATGTGCCACAATGGGGCCAGGCCGCCACGCGAGTTCCGCCACTGGAACCTGACGTGGGGTTCCCTATGGGGCCACGAAGCTTGTGAGGGGTGTGCGCCAAAAGTGGGCGAGGCCGCCGTGCGAGTTCCGCCACTGAGACCTTAGGTGGAGCTCCTTATGGGGCCACGAAGCGTGTGAGGGGTGTGCCAAAATTTGGCGAGGCCGCCGTGCGAGTTCCGCCACTGGGACCTTAGGTGGACCTTCCTATGGGGCCACGAACCGTGTGAGGGGTGTGCCAAAATGGGGCGAGGCCGCCATGCGAGCTCCGCCACGGGGACCTTAGGTGGGGCTCCCTATGGGACCACGGAACGCGTGAGGCGTGTGCCGAAACAGAGACATGCGGAGAGCAAAACCAAGGACGAGGAGGAATGATGTGGGGCAGCGGGAGGAGGAGACGCGCGGCGCTGTCTCTTCATAACGAGGACCCAACACCACAGGATGGCAGGGAACAAACAACAATTCGCATTGCTCGCTTCGCCGCGTGAATTATATCACGCGTTTTTTGGCGTCATTACGCCGACTTGTTGGTCACAGTCTGGGTTTCCATCCCTTCTCTCCACGCCCGTCCCCCGCACTCTTTCCAACATATCCATAAGAAGAGGCACGAACAACAAAACGAGGAAGAAGGTGATGAGGATGAGAGGGGGAAGGCGAATGGAGGAGGAGGGATGAGCGGAGTGAGTGAGAGGGGAATGAGGAGGGAGTGAACAAATGAGGACGGGTGGGTGGCAAGTGTGGCGGGCGGAACAGATGAAGTGAGGGGGGCAGGGCGAATCTCTTCACGGATCTCCTCCCCGCCGCCCGTTCCATTTGTTTTTGACCGCACCGTTTTTCGCGTATCTGCGGCGCCTCCGTTTCCTCCTCCTCCTCCTCCTTTTCCTCCTCCTGCTCCTCCACCTCCTCCTCCTCCTCCTCTTCCTCCTCCTCCTCCTCTTCCTTGACATCCGCATTTCGCTCCCCACACCCTTCCTCTCTTCCCTCGTTTCACTTCTCGCCTCGCCCCCCCCCCCCCCTTTCCCCCCTCTCCACTTCCCCTTCCCCTTCCTCCCGCTCGTCTTCCCGTCGCTCTCCAGCACATCCTCCTGCTCCCTCCTCCTCCTCCTCCTCCCTCCTCCTCCTCCGCCTCCTCCTCCCCCTCCTCCTCCTCCTCCTCCTCCTCCTCCTCCTCCTCCTCCTCCTCCTTCTCCTCCTCCTCCTCCCCTCCTCCTCCCCTCCCTCCCTGGGTCTCGCGAAGAGTGTCCGGCTTCGACCGCCCGCGCAGCCCCCCTCAACGCCCCCTGGGGCGGGCCCCTTGCGCAGAGAGGCTACCCCCCCATGCGTGCAGGACGCGGCCCCGGCGCTGAACATGCACGAGGGCAACATGGACAGGGGCTCGCGAAGAGGCGGGGCCTCTCCTCGGCGAGCGGGGGGGTCGAAGAAAACATGCCAAGAAACACCCTGCTTGCGTCTAGGGTGCCCTGGGTTCCCTGGGTTTCGATGATTTTGTTGTGGAAAACGCGACGCTCCCACGCCACAAACCCATCGACGTCCTGGGGTGTCAGGGTTGGGTTTCTTGTGGAAGGCTTCTTGTGGACTGTCGCCCACACTAAGCATAAACTTTCCGGGCTCCGCGCGGATTTCTCAGATCGGTGCCTGAGCTCCCTCGGGGGTCCAGCGCGGATCCAGGCAATCCGCGCGGACCTCCAAACGTTTATGCTTGTGCGCTTTTGGTTCCTCCAGGGAAGCAGTCTTCGCCGCTCCCCCCCGCTCCTCCTCGGGCTTCCCGATTCCCTCTCCCCCCAGCCAGATCCCCCGCTGTTCCGCTGCTGTTCCCAGGCCAGTTTCGTCCTCCTCTCCTTCGTCGGCACGCCTCAGCACCCGCCTTGCGCACTCCCTCTTTCCCCCCTGTACTCCTCAGACGCAGATCATTTTTCTTCTTGTGCTTCTCCTGCTCCTCCATATCCTTGTCCTCCTCTTCCTCTTCCTCTTCCTTCACCTCATCCCATTTCATGCTTGTCCTTCTACTCCCTCCCATTGGCCTGTACCGTGTCCTCCTGATATTGTTCCACCGTTATTGTTCTCCATGCACGGTCTCACATCTGCAATGCCTATAAGTTCCGTTGTATGAACGATCTTGCCATATCATACGTTGTTATGTTGTGGTGTGTAACGTTCTAGTCTTGTATATTTTTTGAATGTATTCGTTGTTTGGTGTTGATGTGATCTGTTAGGTTATGCCACGTCATAGCATTATAGTATTGCTCTGGCATTGCAATCGCTGTCATGGTGTGACGTGGTTTGCCATGGTTTGTCATGGTATACAATGCCATGTAATGTTGTCATGCGTCATGCTGCGACATGTTATGTTGATGTCGCTCTGTCATTGCATGCGCTGTCATACTCTGTTATGGTATGATGTGTGATGCCACGCTGTGTTATGTATGACCCGTTCCGTCGTATATATCATGTTTTTCTATGTTGGTGCGCAACAGTAGTAGGCTATAGTATGTGTTCATGCGTGTTGTTATGCGTTGTCATGCCATGCCATGTTATGTTATGTGGTCTTCTGCCCTATCATGTTATGCCATGCTCTGTTCTGTCAGACTCTGTCGTGCTCATCGTCGGTGCGCGGCGGGTGTCTCGGGGATTCTCGGTGGACCTGGGGATCTGCAGGCCGCGGTATGCAGAAGAATGGCCGTGTCGGCGCGAGGCGGGCGTCTAGGGGGGATCTTCTGGGAACTTCGGGATCTGGCGGCCGTGGTATGCAGAATGGCTGGGTCGGCGCGAGACGGGCGTCTCGGGGGATGCTCGGTTGACTTGGGGATCTGGTGGCCGCGGTATGCAGGGTGGTCCGGCTGGAGAGTCTGTCCTTAACATCTAAGGACCACAGTTAGTCATGTTGGAAAGAACGTCAACACGCATCGAAAAATTGGAGCAGCCCGATGTCTGGGGAGATCTGGGCGGTGCAGTCTCGGTGCACGGGGCCGTTTCGCGCCCTCTCGGGTCCTGGGGGGCCATCGCCGATATCGGCGCGGCTCCAGACCTGCCGCAAGGGAGGGGTCTATATAGGGCTTTGGTCGTGACCGTTTGCGAGGTTGCAGTGCTGGCGTAACGCCGGCTCCCCAGAGATCCAAGGTGTTGAGAAATCAGGACGGCGATTTCTCTGAGCGTTCCTCCTCCTCCTCCTCCTCGTCCTGGGGAACGGGTCGAGACTTCGGGGGCCCCGCATGGAGAACGGCACGGCATCGGATCTTTTGGAGCCTCACGGGGCCCCAAGCGGCGCGGTGGCCGCGCCCTGTGGTGGGTCGGTGGGGCTTCGGAGGCGGCCGCAGGGCCTGGGGAGTTCACCACCCACCAAACCACCCCAACCCAACCCGAAGGCCTCAATTTGCCTTCCATTTCCAGTGGGGGGGGTCGGGGAACGTTGAAAAAACACATGGGACCCGTACCCCCCCCCAACCCGAAATTCGGGTCAAATTCGGGTCTTCGGGTTGGGTTGGGGTGGTCTGGTAGGTAGTCAGGAGTTGGGTCGCTCTCCGAGGGCGCCTCGGGCGGCCGGGGCCTCCCACTACCAGCCTGGAACATATCCCTATCCCTATGCTGGGCACCTCCTCATCACGATGCCAATCTTGGGGATTCCCTTCTTTTTTGATGGCGGATCCCTAAGATCGTCATCGCCTTTTGGCGTGTCAATCTTAGGGGTAGGGATACGTTCGAGGCTGGTAATCCCAGGTCCCCGAGCGGTGCGGTGACGGACACCCTGCCGCGAGACCTCTGGGGGTTCCGAGGTCGCCGCGCGGCTGGTCACCGCACCGCCTCGCGACCCCCCTTTGGGGCGCCGGGGGCGCGCGGCACATCACTCGGGGGGGGCCTGCTGAGGCCAGCCCGGCGGCGGTTGCCTGGAGACCTTCTGGGCTGGTGTTTCGCCTGCACGTAAGCTGTGTGTTCGCCTGCACGTTGTGGGCCCCGGAAACGGCAGGGCCGTTTTTTCACCGTGTCCAAAAAAATGTCCCTTGAACATGGAAGCGGCAAAAAAACGGCGACCCGAAACGGAAAAAAAACGGCTCCAGGATTGGAACCGGAGCCGGAACCGGTCAAACAATGGCGACGGATCCGGGTAAAAAACAGCGTCGGAACCGGCAAAAAGATTGCAAAACGGAACTGGTAAACAAACGGCCCTGTCGTTCCCAGGGGCCATTAAGCGCCTGCATTGGCCCTTCGCTGGAGTGACCCCTGGTGCTGCCCCGCTGGGGCCTCCCGAGGGCGGACCGCGATGCGGCGGCAGCGGCTTGCGCGGCTGGGCATTGGGCCCCCCCGGTGCCCACCTGGGGCCGCGCAGCGACGGCCACTCCTGCCCAGAGCCACTCCTGCGTGTAGCCATGGGGGGGCACAGGTTCCTCCTCCTCCTCCCCCTCCTCCCCCTCCTCCTCCTCCTCCTTCTCCTCCTCCTCCTCCTCCTCCTCCTCCTCCTCCTCCTCCTGGCTGGGGGGTGGGACGCCTCCGGGCCCAGGGCCCGCCGCCCTCGGGGCCTGCCTCCCGCACGCGCTGCGCTTCTCGTGCTGGCCTCGTCGCCCTGCTCCTCGGACCTCCGGCTGCTGCCGACCTCTTCGGAGCGTGGGCCCGGGAGGTCCGGGCCACTTCTCTGGCCGGACGAAAGTGGGGGATTGGGAAAGGGGGGGGTACGAAATTGGCTGCATGCAGCTGGTTTCGGCCCCGCCGAGGGGCCCATTCCTCGATACATGGGCGCCTCCCGGCGCCAGGAGGCGCCGGGAAAATCAGCTACGTGAGCTGATTCTCAAACCCCTCCTTTGCTATCCCCCCCTTTCGCCCGACCCGAAGTTCCCCAGGCCCGGTTCTTCGTCCCGAGTCGACGTCTGACGCCCCCGAGGCCTGGCGAGAGCTCCTCGAGTTCGAGAGCGGCCCCAAACCCCGCCGCCCCAGTTTTTCCGGATCATCGGACCTCTGGGCTTGCGGCTTGCGTTGGCCTCGTCGCCCTTCGCCGCAGCCGCTCCTGCTCGAGCAAGCGGCAAGCGTGGCCGGAGCCGGAGCTCCAGCCTCGCCGCGCCGGCGCTGAGCAGCCCTCCTTGTGCGGGCCGGCGCTCGCTGCCCAGGAGAGCAGAGAAGCGGCACAGCAGGCACCAGCCTTTGGTGGTCGTCCAGGGGCAACGCTCGGGAGGGATGGGCTCCAGGGCGGGAGGCATCGACCCCTGATCCCCCACGCATCGCCGATGGTGGCCCGCGCGGTTTCGGCATCGGGGGCCTGTCGCCGACCTCTCGGCGATTAATTTCCGATTCCAGGTCGACGCTTCCCCCTGAGCCGACTCCAGGTTCATGCCCCCCCCCCCTCCCCAGAGGGATAGTAGGCTCAAGGGGGGGTGGGGGGGGCACTCCCGATCGCCCGAGGAGGAAGTGGAGAGAGAGGGGGCGGAGGAGGAGGAGGAGGAGGGAGGAGGAGGAGGAGGAGGAGGAGGAGGAGGAGGAGGAGAGAGAGAGGGAGGGTGGAGGGAGGCGGGAGGAGGAGGAGGGAGGAGGTGGAGGTGGAGGAGGAGGGAGGGAGGAGAAGGGAAGGCGGGAGGAGGCAGAAGGAGGGAGGAGGGGGGGGCCCCGCCCGCCCTGGGCTCAGGATCCCGCCCCGCCCAGGGCTCGGAGGGACAGGCTCGGCGGGGGGGGGGGCGCGCGGAGCCCCGACTGGCCAACGCGTCGCCAGGCCCGGGGCCCCGCCCCCCCGCCCGGACCTGGGCGCGCGGTGTCGCCGTCGGTTGTCCTCCTCTTTCTCCTCCTCCTCTCCTCCTCCTCCTCCTCCTCCTCCTCCTTCTCCTCCTCCTCCTCCTCCTCCTACTCCTCCCCCTCCTCCTCCCTCCTCCTCCTCCTCCTCCCTCCTCCTCCTCCTCCTCCTCCGCCTCCTCCTCCTCCTCCTCCTCCTCCAGCCGATCCCCCCTGCGTTCGGGCCGAGGTGTGAGATCGAGGTCGGCTCGGGGCACCCTCGCGATCTTCGTGTTCGTTGGATGTGCTTGTGCATCCTGGGGTTGGGGGGGGCACCCCTGCGGTCTCCTGGCGCCAACATCGCAGAGTGGATTCCGCTCGGAAAAAACCGTCGGATGGGCCCGGAGCGTCCTTGGGAATTGCGTTCCGGATTTCGGAGTGATTTTTGTGCGGATTTTGCTTGGCCAGGAATGAAGAGCCAAACAGATCCATGCGAAATTGCCTTCGTTTTTTCACTCGCCGTTTCGGGGCTTCGCTTTGACAGAAATCCGCGCAACAATCCGCTGCAGCACGTCTGCAAGGTCGGTGCAGCGAGCGGTCGGACCGAGGTCTGAGATCGAGGTCGGCTCGGGGTGTCTTGGATGTCTTCGTGCTCGAGGTCCTCACGTCCTTCGTGCTCGTTGGATGTCTTCCTCCTCCTCCTCCTCCTCCCCCTCCTCCTCCTCTTCCTCCTCCTCCTCCTCTTCCTCCTCCTCCTCCTCCTCCTCCTCCTCCTCCTCCTCCTCCTCCTCCTCCTCCTCCTCATGCTCCTCCTCCTCCTCCCCCTGCTTCTCCTCTTCCTCCTGCTCCTGCTCTCCTCCCCTCCTCCTCCTCCTCCTCCTCCTCCTCCTCTCCTCCTGCTCCCCTCCTCCCTCCTCCTCCCTCCTGCTCCACCTGCTCCTCCTGCTCCTCCTCCTCCTCCCTCCCCCTCCCTCTCCCCTCCCCCTCCCCTCCTCCTCCTTCCTCCTCCTCCTCCTCCTCCTCCTCCTCCTCCTCCTCCTCCTCCTCCTCCCTCCTCCTCATCCTCATCATCATCACATCCATCATCATCATCATCCGCCGAGGGACGTGTCGCCGCTTCTCCGGGGCTCGCGCTCCCCGCCCCCCCAGTCCCTTGGGCCCCGCCCCGCCGCCCAGGACCTTGGCGCGCGGTGTCTCCGTCGAGGCCTTCTCCTCCTCCTCCTCCTCCTCCTCTCCTCCTCCTCCTCCTCCTTCCTCCTCCTTCCCTCCTCCTCCCTCCTCCTCCCCCTCCTCTCCTCCACCTCCTCCCTCCGCCTCCTCTTCCCTCCTCCTCCTCCTCCTCCTCCTCCGCCTCCTCCTCCTCCTCCTCCTCCTCCTCCTCCTTCCTCCTCCTCCCTCCTCCTCCTCCAGCCGATCCCCCCTGCGGTCGGGCCGAAGTGCGAGACCGAGGTCGGCTCGGGGCACCCTCGCGATCTTCGTGTTTGTTGGATGTGCTTCGGAGGAGGAAAAGGTACCCATACCGCTACCTTCCGCCTGTTCTCTCCCTTGGGGCATCCTGGGAGGCCCTCGTCGCCACCGCTGGGTTCGCCCTGAAATTCTGGCCGGAACGCACCCCCAGGAGAGGTCTGGGGAGTAGCGGTATCGGTACCTTTTGTCGGGTCGGGCGAAAGGGGGGGATTAGGAAAGGATGGGTTACGAAAGTTGCTGCATGCAGCTGGTTTCGGCCTCACCCAGGGGCCCAGTCCTCGATACATGGGCGCCTCCGGCGCCGGGAGGCGCTGGGAAAATTAGCTACGTGAGCTGATTCTCAAACCCCCCCTTTGCTATTCAGGAGGGGAAAAAACACACAGACACAATTATTCGTCGATTCCCAGAAAATATGCGAAAATATGGGAAGGGGGGGGGAAGACAGAAACCCACAAAATATGGGAGAATATGGGGAATTGTTTTCTTTGTATGTATTTATTTGTGTGTCCCAGGGCCCCCTCAGCTATCCCCCCCTTTCGCCCGACCTGATTTTGGTTCCCCCCGTGGTTGTGCATTTTGGGGGGGGGGCAGCCGCCAAGGCTCTCCGGTGTGGCCGGCGGAGGGCCTTCGGTGTTCTTGAGAGGGGGCCCTTCTGTCAGCATGAAAAGAACCACACAGACACAATTAATCGTCGACTCCCAGGATAATGGGAAAATCTGAGAAGTGGGGGGGAAGACAAACATCGAAAACAGATGGGGAAAATATGGGGGGTCCTGTTATTTGTGTGTATTTATTTGTGTGTCCCAGGGCCCCTTCATTCTGTCCCAGGCCTGGCCGCATCTCAGCCACGCGCAGAGGACGGCGGGGGGAGGGGGGAGGGCTTCTTAGAAGCACCCCTGCTTCTTAGAAGAAGGCGCGGGCCTTATCTATAGATGTGAGGCCGGCGCCTTCTAAGAAGCAGCCTGCTTCTAAGAACCCCTCCCCCCTCCCCCCACCCCCTTGTGCGCGCCGCCAAGCATCGGTTTTTCCTCGGTCGACCTCCGACAAGTTTGCGCTTGCATGCGGCTTCGATCCTTTCCGGCGTCTCAGCGCCATGGATCATCCTCCCTGTGCGGCAGAAGAGTTGCCCGGGGAGCAGCGGGGCGCTCGCGTCGGGGAGATCTGTAACATGTTGGACGCCCTCGGCTTCGACCTGCGGGCCGGCTTCACGGAGCGGCGTCTGCGGGAGCTGGTCGAGCAGGCTCGTTTCGAGCATTCCGGTTCGATTCGATTTCGATTTCCATTGCTTGCGATTCCGATGTGTTTCGATTTGGGATTCTGATCTGGCTTCCGATTTTTCATTGGAGGCATACTGGCCTGCCGATAATTGCCGATTCGACTTTCCCCGACGTGGCTGCCGATGTCCGCCGATCCGATTCATTTCGACCGCCGATCCGACTTCTCGATTCGATTCTGGGCTCGTCTGGCAGGAGGTCGACCGGCTTAGGCCGGAGTTCCGGGACCCGTCTCACGGCTATTACCTCGCCGCCGACATCAAGATTTTGTTGGGCGGCGGAGGGAAGGGCGTCACTTTGCCGCGTGGTTACAGCGTCGACGTGCGTCTGCGGCGCGGCGCAGTGATTGTGACCCTCCTGGCAGGCCAGCACGGGAAACAGCCTATGCTGGAGGCGTGCCGCATCAATTGCCGAGCGACCGTTTTTTTGTCGCACTGCCAGGCGGAACCTGTCCGAGACACACTGCACGGCATAGAGGACTTCGTGCAGAGGGCAAGCAAGTCCAGCGACGGGCCACCGTGTTGGCTGGACTTCTTTGGCTTGGACCAGAACAACATTACCTGGACGAAAGACAAGGAACGCACGAAGCGCACGATCATGGGGCCGACAAGTCTAGCGGTGATGATGAGCCCGTGGGAGGGTGGTATGATCTTGCAACGGGCATGGTGCTGCTTGGAGATCGCTCTGCATGCCCTCGCTGGCCATGGCATCATCATCATCATCATCATCATCATCGTGCTCACGCCGGATGAGAAGGAACGCTTCCTCGAAGTGTTCCGCAAAGACTGCGACAGCATCATGAGAAATGTGTGCATGGTGGATGTGCTGAAGGCAGAGGCGTCGAAGCTGGAGGAGAAGGAGTCGGTGGTGATGGAGATGCAGGCCGTGGAGGGCGGCGTGCCGAAGATCCACCAGATGATCATCTCCTCGATGTTCGCTGCCCTGACGCAGGTCGCACGCAATGCAATAGAGAGTGCCGCTTATGGCAAGGACGCCGCTGCTCAGGTGGCTACCGACTGCAGCAACCTGGCCACGCCCCTCCAGGCCCAGGGCGAGTGCGGCGCGCAGACCGAGGAGCTGATGCGGCGGGCCCTGGCCATCGACGAGAAGGCTCTCGGGCCGCAGCTCCCCAGGGTGGCTACCGGGTGCAACAACCTGGCCACGCTCCTCTGCGCCCGGGGCGCGTGCGGCGCGCAGACCGAGGAGCTGATGCGGCGGGCCCTGGCCATCGACGACAAGGCCCTCGGGCCGCAGCACCCCAGGGTGGCTACCGGGTGCAACAACCTGGCCCAGCTCCTCCAGGCCCGGGGCGAGTGCGGCGCGCAGACCGAGGAGCTGATGCGGCGGGCCCTGGCCATCGACGAGAAGGCCCTCGGGCCGCAGCTCCCCAGGGTGGCTACCGGGTGCAACAACCTGGCCCAGCTCCTCCAGGCCCGGGGCGCGTGCGGCGCGCAGACCGAGGAGCTGGTGCGGCGGGCCCTGGCCATCGACGACAAGGCCCTCGGGCCGCAGCACCCCAGGGTGGCTACCGGGTGCAACAACCTGGCCCAGCTCCTCCGCGCCCAGTGCGGCGCGCAGACCGAGGAGCTGATGCGGCGGGCCCTGGCCATCGACGACAAGGCCCTCGGGCCGCAGCACCCCAGGGTGGCTACCGCAACATGGCCACGCTCCTCTGCGCCCAGAGTGCGGCGCGAGACCGAGGAGCTGGTGCGGCGGGCCCTGGCCATCGACGACAAGGCCCTCGGGCCGCAGCTGGCTACCGGGTGCACAAGGGGGCCCGGGCGAGTGCGGCGCGCAGACCGAGGAGCTGATGCGGCGGGCCCTGGCCATCGACGAGAAGGCCCTCGGGCCGCAGCTCCCAGGGTGGCTACCGGGTGCAACAACCTGGCCCAGCTCCTCCAGGCCCGGGGCGCGTGCGGCGCGCAGACCGAGGAGCTGATGCGGCGGGCCCTGGCCATCGACGACAAGGCCCTCGGGCCGCAGCTCCCCAGGGTGGCTACCGGGTGCAACAACCTGGCCCAGCTCCTCCAGGCCCGGGGCGCGTGCGGCGCGCAGACCGAGGAGCTGATGCGGCGGGCCCTGGCCATCGGCGAGAAGGCCCTCGGGCCGCAGCACCCCACGGTGGCTCATGCACCATCCCAGATGTCGACGTAGAAAAAAATGGTGGTCGGTTTCTGTGTTCTGATCAGTGTTGTTGGTCGGTGCCACGTGCTGGTGGTCAGTGTGGGTCCGTGGTGGTCGATGCTGGTGTTCGGTGGTGGTCGGTGGCGTTTGGTGCTGGTGGCGCTTGGTGCTGGTGGCGCTGCTGGTCGTTCGTTGGTGTCTGTGGTCGGAGCCGAGTCGGTGCTGTCAGTGTTTTGCTGCTGCTGCTGCTGCTGCTGATGTGGTCGATGCCTGTACTGGCGCTGCTGGTGCCGCTGTTTGGTTTCGCTGCCGCTGTTTGGTTTCGTTTTTTCACCACCCACCAAACAACCCCAACCCAACCCGAAGGCCTCAATTTGCCATCCATTTCCAGGGGGGGGGGTGTCGGGGAACATGGAACAAAAACACATATGGAACCCGTACTCCCCCCAACCCGAAATCCAGGTCTTCGGGTTGAGTTGGGGTGGTTTGGTAGGTAATTAGTCATATTTGAACGACGAGCAGCGCGCTGCACGCTGCAGTGCCACCAGGAGTGGTGGCCAGGGCCTCCCGCCTCCCGGCTCCCCCGGCCAGCTCCTCGGGGGGGGGGGCCCTGCTCCCCGTGGGCGCCCGGCGGCTTCCCCGCAGGCGGCAGACGAGCAGGGCAAGCCACCTAATGCCCAGTCGTTGCGAGTTCCGGACGTGCCACGCGCGAAGCGAGACGATCCCACGGACCCGTAATCAGTGTCAGCGTGCGCTGAAGAGTTGGACCCAGATCGGTTTCTCGTCGTGGGCCGTGTTCGTTTGGGGCGACGGCGAGGAGGGGGGAGGTACGCGGGGCGTGGCATGGACGCATGGCGGGGCCCTCGGATTCTCATCGGGAGGGAAAACGAAAACACACGGACAGAATGCATCGCCGACTCCCGGGAAGACATCGGAACATGTGGGAAGTGGGGGGGAGGACGAACGTCCAGAAAATAACGGGGAAATGTGGGGCATCCTGCTATTTGTGTCTACTTGACCACTCCAGCCCTCCCAAGTCATGAACGTGTGGCGGGGCCATACGGTTTTCGCCATTCTGAGCTTCAAGGGCTATGGGTAGAGGGGGCAGGCCCCCTTGAATGGTCGCTGTGCCCGGGTGGGACACCGTCACAGCAGATTTTGGACCGGCCTTTAGGGATGTTGTCCGGCGAACGTGGCCGCAATTTCCATCCCCCCCGTAGCCCCGACCTTTTGTTATCCCCGGGGTCGTAATTGCCGGGGGGCTCACGGTCAGGGCCCCTGCAGTATAATTTGTTTGTTGCTCTCCACCGCCCCCGCTTCTTTCCCCCCGTCAACGCTCAGCCTGCTTTGGGCGTCCTCAGGCCCCGTTATAGTTAAGTCGGGCCTGTCCCCTACAGGGGGATTTTCGACGAAACATCAAAAATACCCCAAACATAGTCCACAAATGGTTCAAACATAGTCTTGGGATTTTTTTGTTGAGTATTTTTTGACCTTCTTGTCGCCGAAAATCCCCCTGTAGGGGGACAGGCCCGACCTAGCCCTACTGCTCAAGCTCCTCCTGTGCCGATGTCCCCCGCGCGTGTCCACGGCACCGCAGAGGCGTCCTCCGCACTCTATCGGTGCGGCTATCTCCGCCCGAGTGTGTGTTCGCATCGGGCGGGGGGCATTGTCGGCATAGCTGCAGCCAGGACAATCACTTGGCATCGCTCGGACGTGTGCATTGTTCCTTCGGCGAGGGCCATCGAAGAGCATCCTTGCTCATTTGGCGAAAATTGCCACGCACGAACTCAGAAAAAAACACAGGGAATGGACGTCCGAGCAATGGCCAGATCACCCCAACTATGGCGGATCTGGAGCCCGTGTGGAGCAAGCCCTGCTCTCCGACAGCAGGAGCCCAGACATGCCCGCGCCGTTGCAAACAACAGAAAGGTCGCGACCGAAGGGCTTTGGTGATCCTTTTCTCATTCACTGTTTTGCCGATCGGCGCGGGCCCTCGCCCCACCCATGGAGTAGGTCTTGACTGTCTCTGGCGCCCGTTTCAAGCCGGTGGAGTCTCCCCCATAGGACGCACTGTTGCAAACAATTGCGTCAACCAGGGTTCCGGGGCTCCCCTCCCCCCCCGCCTTTTCTCGGGGGCCCCCAAACGGGGCGGTGACCACACCGTGCGGTGAGTCGGTGGGGATTCGGGGTCACCGCACGGTTTTGGGACTCCGGTCGTTCTCCGAGGACGTCTCGGGCGACTGGGGCCTCCGAGGTCCCAAGGCCGTACGGTGACGGACCGTGCGGTGAGGTCTTGGGGGGTTTCGAGGTCACCGCACGGTCTGTCACCGCACCTTTGCGGGACTCCAAACTCCCCCCCGCCCTTTCCGCCCAGTGTCGAGACGCCGAGGAGGAGGAGGAGGAGGAGGAGGAGGCGAGGAGGAGGGAGGAGGAGGAGGAGGAGGAGGAGGCGGAGGAGGATGGAGGAGGGGGAGGAGGAGGAGCCGCGGGCCCCTGGGCCGTCCAACAGCGACGCATGAGGGGCCCAGCTTACACCACCCCCATAGGATGCAGAGGTCCTCCTCCCTCCTCCTCCTCCTCCTCCCCCTCCTCCTCCTCCTCCTACTCCTCCTCCTCCGCCTCCCCCTCCTCCTCCTCTCCTCCTCCTCCTCCTCCTCCTCCTCCTCCTCCTCCTCCTGCTCCTCCTCCTCCTCCTCCTCCTCCTCCTCCTCCTCCTCCTCCTCCTCCCCCTCCTCCTCCTCCTCCTCCTCCTCCTCCTCCTCCTCCTGATGGGAGTGGTGGTGGAGCATGGGCCCCTCGATACCGGATGGCACGCCGGGCCCCCGGGGCCAGCGTTTCCCGGGAGCCCCCGAGGGCCCACGCCCCCATCGGCAGTGCGAGGCGCCGGCTGTCCGGGCCCCGGCCCTCCAGCGTGGGCGGAGCTCTGTCGTCACTGTTCGGGGGCGGAAAGAAGGGGGTGATGACCTTTTTGGGGGTAATTTGTGGGTCTTTTTGGACCTTTCTGGGATATGTTTTGGGGTATTTTGACTTTTCGTCGAAAATCCCCTTGTAGGGGGACACGCCCGACTTAAGTCTGGTGCCGAGTGCAGCGGGGGCCCGTGCCAAGAAAGACCCTTCTTGCCTCCAGGGTGCCCCGGGTTTCTTGGGTCTCGAGGGTCGTGTGATGGTCGGGGGCGGAAAAGAGGGGGGTGATGACTAGGGGGGGGATATCATGGCGGGGGCCATGATATCTCCCCAGATCTCACGGCGCCTCTTCTTATTTCATTACGTCCCTGGCCCCCCCGCTGGGCCGCGCACATGCCGCTGGTCATGATTTGCACCCCCCCATCTTGGACACCCCCCTCTTTGCCGCTCTCGAACTGTAACAGGGCTCGTGTCGACCCCTCCGATTCGAGTCGATCCGATTCCGACGGCTTCCGGTTCCCAGCCATTCGGTTCGATGTTCGGGGGTGGGCAGGACCCCCAACAGTGACACGTCGATTTGTGAATTGTCCGTTTCGGTTCTCGAGAGGGCGCCGTGGCCGTTATTTTCCAGGCTCTCGCCCGCCAGGTTTGGGCCTCAGGTCGTTTTCACTAAACCACGTTTTACTAAAGGGGGGTCTGTCCATCCCCGAGATTTGGGATTGCGATGTGGATGGCGGCGTCTTGTGGGAGTCATGCTGGCCTGCCGATTGCCGCCGATCCGAGTCGTTTCGATTGCCGATGCGACTTGTCGATTCGATTCTGGTCTCCCCTCGCCGGGCCCCAGTGGTCTTCAACAAAACGGTTCGGGAAGGGGTAGAGAATTCGGGGGCTGTGCCATGGACATCTTTTGAAGGCCTCGCATGTCTGGGAGAGCCACTTCCAGGAGGCTCGAGTCAGCATCGATGTGAGTAGGTCTCCTTTCGGATGCAATCTCACCCTGGCCGAATTTGGTCCAGGCCGACCTGGCCAAGTTGCTTCTTTCTGGCCGACTCCAGTCCCACTGCCCAGCAACCAGGCTCAGTATGCTTCCGCCGTTGCTACGACTTCGGTTGCAACTCCTAGGAAATTAGATTCGGCGTCAGCGCTGGCATATCCGTGGTCGAAGCCGTCGCAATCCGGTGAATCCCGTTCAATCATGTGCGCAATCCAGGCCTCATCCGGCCTTGTCCTGAGCTTCATGTCAGGTCTCGTTATTTCGAAGGTTTCCCACAGGCCTTCCCAGTGCACGAAGATCTTGCCTCTAGCGCGAAGACTTCCGTGGCCTCCCACTTCGATCGTGCCCTCCTAGCACGAAGACCTCCCAGGAGTTGCTCCCTCTTGGGGGGGGGGCGGACTGGAGGCCGCATGGAGCAGACGGGGCCGGAGGCAACCGTGAACGGAAACGTCCGATCGAAAACGAGGCGAAGGTGGAGGACACCCGTTCAGGTCGAGCCCTGCCCTGGTCCCTGCCCCCTCCCCTCCCGCTCCCTGCCCCTCGGCCCTCTCGCCCCTGGTCCCGGTGCTCCCCCCTCTCTCCCAGCCCCTCTTCTGCTCGGGGGGGGCCCAGGCGGTGTGGCCGCGCCGCGTGGTGCTTGGCATCGCTCGGACGTGTGCATTTTTCCTTCGGCGAGGGCCATCGAGGAGCATCCTCGATCATTTAGCGAAAAAACCACGCACGAAACCGAAACAAAAACACAGGGAATGGACGTCCGAGCGATGGCGAGGGTGAGTCGGTGGGGACGCGGGGCCACCGCGCAGTTTGGGGACGTGAGCCTGTTTTCCTCCTTCCTCCTCGTGCCCCACCTGCTGCCGCTGCTGCTGCTGCTGCTGCTGCTGCTGCTGCTGCTGCTGCTGCTGCTCCTCCTCCTCCTCCTCCTCCTCCTCCTCCTCCTCCTCCTCCTCCTCCTCCTCCGCCTCCCCGAGGTGTCCTCCGAGGATGCCTCGGGCGCCTGGGACACACGAGGCCCCCCAAAACCGTGTGGAGACGGACCGCGCGGTGAGGGCGCTGGCGACTCCGAGGTCACCGCGCGGTCCGTCACCACGCGGGTTCTCCGATACCAGAGGTAGGAGAGGGAGGAGGAGGAGGAGGAGTAGGAGGAGGAGGAGGAGGAGGAGGAGGAGGAGGAGGAGCAAGAGGAGGAGGAGGAGGATGACGTCCCCATCATCCCTTCGCCCCCGCCCTAGCTATGGTAGTGGTGGCGGAACATCTGCCCATCGTCCTCCTCGTCGTGGGCATCGCGTCCACAGGGCCTCGGAAGGGATGCGGGAGCTGCCCCCGGGGGCTCGTGGCCGGGCCCCTCGAGGCCCCTCCCCCCCCAGCGTGGCGCCTTTGACCTCCCTGCCCCTCCTCCTCTCTTCCCTTCTCAAGGGCTACCACGAGGGCGCGAAGTTATTCGCGCTTCGCGGTCCTCGTTCCTTCTCCCCCTCCTCCTCGTCCTCCTTTTCTCCCTTTAGGGGGGCGGCGCGAGAGCGCGAAGTTATTCGCGCTTTGCGGAGCGCGAAGCGCGAAGTTGGGAGCCCTTGCTGCTGCCCTCTGCATCGGCTGAAGTCGGCCGTGTCCCTGCACAGGAGGAGTATTCAACAGTTTGCAGGAACTGGTATGGCGACGATATGGTTTTCACTAGTTTTGCAAAGCTGGGTGCATTTTTTGGCTATCCTCTTTGTTTGTCTTGCAGAATGTGCCTCGAAGCCTCGGGGACGCGCCCAGCGGACAAGAAGCTGCCGTTCGTCGGCGGCGTCATGGACGTGCTCTCGCGCATGCAGGCGGACGCGCCCTTCCGCGAGGAGGCGTTCGAGCTCCCTCTTCGCCCCCCGCCGCCCCCGCGCAGCAGTGGCGTACGCAGTCGCAGCAGTCCACGTCGGGCGGGCGTCAGCAAAGCCAGTAGTACCGGGAGGAGTGCCGAGAACCCGAGTGGCAAGTAGTTGGACATACCTGGAGATTCGAGGATCTGTGTTTTTCTATCCAAACGTTTTTCTTAGGTTTCGGCCTCTGGGCCTCTTTTTCGTCCCCCCGGGGCCGTCGAACGTGGATCCGGGATGGAACACTGACCCCCGGGGAAGTGGTCAGGTCTCCTTGGTGCCGCGCATGGTAAACAACACGTCGTCCGATGTCTGGGAATACATTTTCTCTGGCAGCGCTCCTGCACTTTGGGGTTTCTTGCAGGTTGTACAGTCGGGGCGCTGAAGAAGGAACCCTTTTCGTTTGGGAGTGGCTCCGTGTTCCTTAGTTGCTTTGCAGTGCTCCTTGGGTTTTCTTGAGGTTTTCCATGGGAAGTCGGAGTTTACTATATGGGAAAAAGGAGCCTCGTTCCTTATCTATCGTTCCTTAGGTCAACGCCCCGACTGCAGTGAGGACTTCGATGGGCGCCCCGAGGGCTCTTGGAGTGGCCGCCCCGTGGCCGCCCCCCGCGATTGCCCCCGTGGTCGCCCCGTGGCCGCCTCGCTGCCCCAGGGGAGGCGGGCCCGCCGAGGTGTTCGCGGGTCGCGCGTGGCGGCTCCCCCCTTCTGTCCACCCCTAGCTACCCTGACCTTCCAGGAGGGCTAAACAATAGCACGCGACTTGAAAACCTATCCCAGAGCTGTTAAATGTCTTGGTTTTCGGCTATTTCGTTTCGTTTTTTAGGTTTTTAGGTCTCCCGTGCTAAACAAAATCCGATGGGGCCACGAAACGTGTGAGAGGTGTACCGAAATGGGGGTGGAACCGCATGCGGGCGCTGCCGTTGGGGCCTTCGGTGGAGCACCCTATGGGGCCACGAAACGTTCGAGGGGTGCGCCAAAATTGAGGTGGAACTGCATGCGGACTCTGCCACTGGGGCCTTCGGCGGAGCACCCTATAGGGCCACGAAACATATGAGAGGTGCGCCGAAACGAGGGTGGAGCTGCATGCGGACCCTGCCACTGGGGCTTTCGGCGGAGCACCCTGTGGGCCACGAAACGTGTGAGAGGTGCGCCGAAATGGAAGTGGAACTGCATGCGGACCTTGCCACTGGGGCCTTGGGTGGAGCACCCTATGGAGCCGCGAAGCGTGTGAGGGGTGTGCCGAAATGGGGGCGGAACTGCATGCGGACCCTGCCACGGGGGGCCTTCACTGAAGAACCATGTAGGGCCACGAAACATGTGAGGGGTGCGCCAAAATGGGGGTGGAACTGCATGCGGACCCTACCACAGGGGGCCTTCTGTGAAGCACCCTATAGGGCCACGAAAATATATGAGGGGTGCGCCAAAATGGAAGTGGAACTGCATACGGACCCTGCTACTGGGGCCTTCGGCGGAGCATCCTATGGGGCCACGAAACGTGTGAGGGGTGTGCTGAAATGGGGGTGGAGCTGTATGCGGACCCTACCACTGGGGCCTTCGGCGGAGCACCCTATGGGGCCACGAAGCGTCCGAGGGGTGCGCCGAAATGAGGGTGGAACCGCACGCGGACCCTGCAACTGGGGCCTTCGGCGGAGCACCCTATAGGGCCACGGAACGTGTGAGAGGTGCGCCGAAATGGGGGTGGAACTGCATGCGGACCCTGCCACTGGGGCCTTCGGCGGAGCACCCTATAGGGGATACGAAACGTGTGAGGGGTGCGCCGGAATGGAGGTGGAACTGCATGCGGACCCTGCCACTGGGGCCTTCGGCGGAGCACCCTATGGGGCCGCGAAGCGCTGTACTAGGTGGGTGAAACGCAGGGAGGAGCGAGAAGGGGGAGGAGGGAGGGGGCAGCGGGAGGAAGGTGGGAACGCGGGGCGCTGTCTCTTCAAAACGAGGACCCAACATCACAGGATGGTTGGGAAAAAAAATCTTAGTACGCGAATTCCACCACACAGCTTGCACCACATCTCTAGGCCTCCCAGAGGGGGTCGGAGGATCGCGCCGCATCGCCGGTGAATTTCCGATGCGGCTCGATGCGAAGCCCGGTTTTCTTCAGGTCGTCGCCGATGCGTCGCCGGTGCATCGCCGATACGTCGCCGGTGCATCGCCGATGCATCGCCGATGTATCGCCGAGGCGGCGCGATCCTCCGGCCCCATCTACTCCGACCTCGTCAAGGAGGCTTTTTTTAATATCGCTTGCGAAACATAACTTGCACACGCCAACATCCTGATCGGGGTCCACACGGGTAAACATGATGTGTATCGAAAACGCCTACGGCGAATCACCGCCGCCCCCTGCCTGTTTGGAAGCGCCTATGTGGCAGAACGTTGAGGCCAGACCTGCCAAGCTATCGGGCCATGATTCGGGGAACACGTGGGCATCTTGAAGGTCATCTTGGCCGCCTGGATGCCATGTTGACATTTGTTCGGGCCTTTTTGGAAGACGTCTTGGGGGGTTCTTGGGCCGTCTTGGGCGCCATCTCGAGCGTCTTGGAGGCGTCTTGGGCCGTCATGGGGGCCTCTTGGGGCCGTCTTCGGCCTCTTGGGCGATCTTTGGGGACACTTGGGCCGTCTCGGGCTGTCGAATGCCGGAAACCAGCAGCTGTCACAATCCTTCACAAACTCACGAGGGATCAATGATGTTGGCCTTTTCGGGCCTTCCTCGAGGCCCTTTTGGAGGCCTCTTGGACCGTCTGGGGCCATCTTTGTGCCATCTTCGGCCGCCTTGGTGGGCCCCTGGCCCGTCCGACGCCGTCGGGAACCGTTTGGAGGGCCTCTCTGAGCCGACTTGGGGCATTCTTGGAATGTCCCATGGCCGTCTTGGAGGCCATCTTGGGCGTCTTACAAAACCTCCTGGGCCGTCTTGGGGGCCTCTTGGGCCGTTCTGGGGCCACCTTGGAGGCATTTTGGGCGATCTTTGGGCGATCTTCGGGGGTTCTGGGGCCGTATCGGGCCGTCGGAAGGCCGAACCGAAACAAATATCACAATCCATCAAACGCCTGGGGACAAAACAAATGTTTATGTTGCCTTTTTGTGGCCTTCCTGGAGGCCTCTTGGGCCGTCTTGGGCCAGCTTCGAGCCCACTTCGGCCATTTTGGTGGGCTCCTGGCCCGTCTGACGCCGCCGGAAGCCGTTTGGAGGGCCAAACTGGGCCGACATGGGGCCTTTTTGGGGCGCTTCGGGGCCGTTTTGGAAGACATGTTGGGCGTTTTGGAGGTCTCTTGGGCCGTCTTGGGGCCCTCTTGGGGCCGTCTTGGGGGCCTCTTGGTTGCCTCTTGGAGGCCTCGTGGGCGATCTTGGGGGCCTCTTGGGCCGTCTTCAGCCGTCGGAATGCCGAGAAGAAAGAAACCCCCAAATCCTTCAAAGCCTAGTGCAAATCAATGAGTTTGGCTTCTTCGGGCCTTCCTGGAGGGCCTCTTGGAGGTTTCTTGGGTCGTGTTGCGCAGTCTTGGAGGCTTCTTGGGCGACCTTTGCGGTATCTTGGCCTCTCTTGGGCCGTAAGGGCGGCCGTCTTGGACCACCTTGGGCGGACTTGGAGGCCATCTTGGACCATCTTGGGGTCCATCTTAGGCCAACGTGGCCATATTGGAGGCCATCTCGAGCCGTCTGGGAGAAAAATAATTGGATTTGGGCTTTGGGCAGTGGCCAGCGGGACGGGCCGAAACCCCAGGGGGAGATCTGTAGGAAAAGTAACCACAAGCCAAACCGATAGGATCGAGCATGCCAGGCACCCCTGCGATGAAGCAACAGGGGGCGGCGGATTTATTAATTGCCCTCGGCCCATCCCGCCACAATGCCTGGGTTGTGGGTCAGAGTTCTCAGGGATGTTTCTCCGGGTCTTTCCGTAGCGCTCTCGGGGGCCTCTTGGGAACAGTTCGGGGGCCTCTTGGAACCCTGCACGGCGGGGGGTGTTGCTCGTTATGCGCCCCGCCCTCCTCCCCCTCCCCTTCCCCCCCTCCCCCCCCATGTCACCCGTCATCGCCGCGAAGTACAAGATGGCTTACATGCCAAGCGCGACATGGAAGGATTGCGTGCCCATCCCCTGCCTCGCGACTATCCCTGCGTCGCTGACTCATTCCGTCGTTTTTTTTTTTTTTTTCTTTCTCTCTCTCTCTCTCTCTCTTTCCCTCTTGCCTCCCCTCCTCCATTCCTCTGTTTTTGGAGGTTCACGCCATTCCGCCGGCTCCCACAGGAGAGGATTCCACGGTTGTCGCCCAGGTTCAGGCAGAAGTTGCAGTTATTGCGCCCGGCGTGGGTCCACAGGCCGTGGAGTTTTTATGACAGTGTCGCCGTTTCCGTGCACGGTGGCGCTAGGGATGTGTGGCACGAGCTAATATACAGTGGTTTTCGACCGCGCATTGGTCGTAACAGAACAGTTTCTTGAGGGTACTTCGTAAAGGCTTTCGGGGGACTATTGCAGTCGTTTTTGTTGTGTGCGTGCGTCTTTGTGTGCGCGTTGAGGGCATCTGGGGGGCCTTTGGGGGGCACCCCGGTGCCTATCGGAGCTTCTGCCGGCCTTTGGGGCGCTGCTTGGGGGCTTGCCGACGGTCATTGGGGACCCTTCGAGTTCAGCTTCTTGGCTCCTACGGCGGCGACCCCAAGCAGCCTCCTCCTCCATGTTCATGCCCCTCCTCTCTATCTGACGACGACCACGAGGGGAAGTCGGATGTTGGATGGGGATGGGGGATGCTGGAGGGGAGCGAGAGGAAGGGGAGGAGGGAGGAGGCGTAACGGGGAGGACGATGAGGAAGAGGATGAGGGGGGGGGGGGGGAGGGGGAGGGGGGCGGGAGGGGGTGGAGGAGTGGAAGGGGGGAGGTAGGAGCACGAGGAGGGCGAAAGGGATGATGAGGAGGGAGCCAGAGGGAGAGGAAGACGGAGCCAGCGAGCAGATCCGGCGACGACGCCAACGCCCCCCCCCCCATCGCAGAGGCTGCCCCCTCGGTGGCAGACCGTTCGCGAGCGCCGGAGTCGCCGCCCGCCGCGGCGCCCGTCGCGGCGCCCGCCGCGGCCGCCGCAGCGGCGCCCGCCGCGGTGCCCGCGGCGGCGCCCGCGGCGGCGCCCGCGGCGGAACCCGCGGCGGCGCCCGCGGCGGCGCTCGCGCGTGCGGGCGCGGCGGCGGGGGCGGAGGCCGCCTCTCGTCGCTGCCGTACTCCCTGCCTCTTTCTGGACCTCCCAGACGGGGTCGGAGCGGAGGGCGTCGGAGGACTGCGCCGCATCGCCGGTGCACCGCCGACGCGGCGCGATGCGGCGCCCGATGTTCTCCACGGCCACGTCGCCGATGCATCGCTGGCGTCGACGATGCATCGCCGGTGCATCACCGATGCATCGCCGATGCATCGCCGATGCGGTGCGATCCTCCGGCCCCATTTGCTCCGACCACATCTAGGCGGCTTCGGCTCCTGCAGTCAAGGAGTGGCGAAGCGCCCTGGCTCTCCGAGAGGCCGACCCCGGGACTGCTCTGGGAGCTCCTCTGTGGCTATACCCGCTCTACATTCCATAAGAGCGATGTCTCTGTTGTTCAGCTTTTTGGTTCCAAGAACACGTCGTCGTAGACCTGCGGGAATGCCGGGGCGATCGGGCCCTGCTCAATGCGGGAGCGTGTTTGGGCGGTTCTCGCTGGCTCTCCAGCCTCGGGCTGCCCTCCGCAGCCGCGCCTCGCCGAGAGCGGCCCCGTGGTGCCTGGGTCGTCCCGAAGGGCGTCCCGAGATTTTCAGGAGGGGGAAAACACACAGACACAATTCATCGTCGATTCCCCAGAAAATATGGGAAAATATGGGAAGTGGGGGGAGGTCAAACACTTAGAAAATATGGTAAGATATGGGGAATTTGGTTATTTGTGTCTATTTATTTGTGTGTCCCCGTTCCCATCCAGATTTGAGGTCCCCAATCGCTCAGTGGTCCCACATGGGGGCCCGCTGGGCCGAGGTTGTCGTCGACTCGGAGCAGTGGCTGGCGCCGAGCCAGAGGTCGTCGAGAAAGGTCGTCGCGGAAGCGGAGGCCGACTACCGTCGATCCAGAAAGTCGTCGATGTCGCCGCCGAGGTCGTCGAGATCGCTTCTCCTCCCTGCCTGGGTCGGGCAGAACGGGGGGATACCCTAGGCCTCCTAGATGGGGTCGGAGTGGATAGGGTCGGAGGATCGCGCCGCATCGCCGATGCATCGCCGATGCATTTCCGATGCGGCTCGATGTGGGGCCCAGTGTCCTCAACGCCGACGTCGCCGATGCATCTCCGACGTCGCAAGAGCATCGCCGGTGCATCGCCGATGCGGCGAGATCTTCCGACCCCATCTAGGAGGCATCTAGATTGGGACAGGGGGGGTGTATGTACGAGATTCGGCCCCGCCGCCGGGCGGTTGTTGCTTCGATGCGCTGTCGCCTCCCGGAGCCCAGAGGCGCCAGGGAGAGCCAGCTATGCCCGAGTGGTTTCGCACCTCTGCTCTCGGCCGCGGCCTGCCTGCATCCCGGCCTTCTCGATGGAACCAGGGGGCACTCCAGCTGTCAGCGAGCTGCAGAGTCTGGCCTCGGCGGCTCGGATCTAGAAGTCTTCCAGCGCGTCTTCGGGCCAGGCAGGGAGAATACTTGAGTTCTCTCAGAGCTTGAGGGTTCTCCGGTTTCATCCAGGTTGCCTCTATCCCTCTCATCCGAGAAAAAACCTTAACCCTTTTTGGGAGGGGACCTACGTTAGGAGGGCCAGGAACATGAGGGGTAGTGGGTCTTTTTTGCAGATGTGTCGACGACGGGGGCCTCAATTAGGCCACGTCTTCATCGTGTTATTAGGGTTAGGGGTTATTTGTTCTCGATGACTCCCTCCTCGTGCCCACCACCCTACTCCTATTATCCTTGTCGAGGACTCTTCCACCTTGTCCGGGGCAACGCTGTCGGAAGATAGGCCTCTAGGGGCTCTGATAGCCCACCCCGCGAAGGAACGCACGCTTTCGCTGTCGGGGGGCGTCTCACCAATAACCCGAGTAAGCGATTAAGGACCCCCCCCCCCCCTCTCCGGTGAAAGGATAACGCACCCGGCACCCGGAAGCGTTATCCTGGCACCAGGAGGGGGTACACCAGATCGCAGGGGGTATTCTTATTCTCGTTACAATTCTAATTGGGATGCCACCCGAGGCGGGGCGCTGGAATTATTTATTTTCCTTCTATTTGCGCGGTGCTAATAATATCGCTCGGCGAAAACCCCCCCAAATAATTATTTAATTACGGCGCGGTGCTAATGATAACGCCGGGGGGTTCCTTAATTGCTTCTCCGGGTTATATCGGCGATGTATCGTCCATTCCAGGTTGATACCCCCCCCCTGAGCTGGTCCCGCCCTATCGTTTCCCCTCGCACTTGTTGACAGAGGCATTCGGCATGCTGGTCAAGCTGGGCTTGGGTAGGAGTCATCCTTCAAGTCAGTTGTCAAGGCCCTTATCCTAGATCTTATCACGGGAGTCTCTCCTCCCGATGTGGGCGGTCCGCTAGTTGTTGATCGTGCTGGCGAGCGTCATGACGTTCTGACGGTCTTGAGGTAGTGCAAGAACATTTTGAGACCGCTGCTAGTGTTCTTCCTGGAGGTACCGTTCCTCCTGCTGAGTTGAATGGTGGCCGTTCTGCAGGGACCGTCTTCGTAAATGTGTCCACGCTGCCGGCGGAGGCGCAGCTGCATGGTGGTGCTGCTGCTTTGGCGCTGTCGCAGCCTCCTCCTGCCTCTGGCCCTCCCCCTGATGCAGTCCTCGGCGGCTCTGAGGCCCGGCCAATATCTGCTCAAAATCGGTTCCCCGACCGTTCCTGGGGTCCAGAATCATCATCACGATCATGAGCGTCACCATCATCATCACTATCATCGTCATCATCATCACCATTACCATTATCACCATCACCATCACCACCACCCTCATCATGAGATCATCATCATCATCATCATCATCATCATCATCATCATCATCATCATCATCATCACTATATGATGCATCAATCTCATCATCATATACAGATTCGGCTTCATCTTCTCTTCAGCTTCATCGTCAGCAGCATCATTATCATCATCACCATCATCAATCACATCACCATCACCATCACTATCATAATCATCATCATCACCAGCATCCTCGTCCTCATTATCGTCATCATCGGCATCATCGTTACCATCACCACCATCATCATCCTTATCATCATCACGATTATCATCAATACCATTTGCAGCATCAGCAGTATCACTTCCATCATCATCACCATCATACTCATAATGCCCATCATCCTGATAACCATATTGCACATTTTCATTCGTATCACCACCATCATCCTCGTCATCACCATCACCATCATCATCATCATCATCATCATCATCATTCGCATAATCATCAGCATCGTCACCATCATCGTAACCATTATCATCACTATCCTGATCTGCACCATTATCATTCTCATCATCACCATCTCCGTCACTACCAATATTATCACCAGCATCAGCATCATCATCACCATCATCATCAAGGCTCATCATCATCATCATCATCATCACCATCGTCCTCATCGTTATCATCGTTAACCTCAACATCATCACCATTCATATCATTTTCCTCTGCATCAAGATCATGATCGGCATAATCACCATCCGCATCCTCATCAGCATCACCAGCATCGTCACCATCATCTTCATCATCATCTTCCTCATCATCACCATCGACAGCATCGCCACCAGTATCATCACCATCACCACCACAACCATCATCATCATAATCATCACCATCTCCATCCTCAGCCTCATCATCATCAGCATCATCATTAGCAGTGCCATCAGTATCATCCTCCTCATCCTCATCCTCCTCATCGTCATCATTATCATCTTTACCTGAATCATCATCATCAGCATCATAATTCTCATCATCATGAACACCACCATTCATCATCAGCATCATCATTAGCATCATCGATATCATCATCATTATCATCATCATCATCGTCATCATCATCGTCATCATCATAATTATCGTCAGCATCATCATCATCATCATCATCGTCGTCATCATCATCGTCATCATCAGAATTATCGTCAGCATCATCATCATCACCACCACCATTACCATCACCACCATCACCATCAACATCATCATCCTCGAAGCCCGGCCCACATCCCCTCAAACGCGCTCAACATCGGTCCTCAGACCCCTGCCGGGGTCATTCTATGCCGTTTTTCGAGGCGGACCCAGCCGCGGCGGCGAGAAGCCCCCTCGGAGGTCACCGTCGCGCCGCTCCGCGCCCGCCCTCGTCGTCGTCGTCGTCGGCGTCGGCGTCGGCGTCGGCGTCGGCGTCGGAGTCGTCGTCGCCGTCGCCGTCGCCGTCGCCGTCGGCGTCGGCGTCGGCGTCGGCGTCGTCGTCGTCGATTTCGTGGCCGCCCTGCCCGGGCCATCCTGCCGCGCCTGGCCAGGACCATTCCTCGAAGCAGAAAGGATCGTGGGCGAACAGCCTGCAGTCAGCTTTGATTGGCAGGTCGACCGTGCCAAATCGAGGGTGCCCTTCAGTCCTGTCTGCAACGACCTGTGTAACCCGCATGTTCTCTGTCTAGCTCAGTCCGACTGGTCCGACGGCCGGCCCGCTTTGGGCTCAGGAGGGGCTCGAATTTTCGGGCCGTTTCTTAGGCTTATGTCGTGGAACATGCTTTTTGCTAGGCCCGCTGTGGCCACGTAGGCCGCTTCGCTCCTTATGTTGCGTTCGTACTGGTAGCACGATTGCGGTATCCGAAAGTTTGTGCTTATGCAGTGTTTTCTTTTTGGCCGCGGAGGATTCCGCGCGGAGCCCCCAGAGCTTATGCTTCTGCCGTGCTCTCGTCCTTCAGCAGCGCGCCGCTGCCTTGCGGCCTCGCGGGCCGGGCCCCTGGGCCGAGACCCCGCGGGTGAGAGTTTCTTTTGTTGTCGCGGATGCCCCGCGCGGAACGCATCCGCGCGACCGCGTATCCGCGGCATCGCGCCAGACCGCGAGAGCGTGGATACGGATATGTTTGCCGGTCCAGGAAGGACGAGGAGGGAGA